TATGATAAGTAATATTATGATAGCAAATTGACAAACTAAACACTTACGAAAAGTAACGTATGACATTTTTTCAACATCAAAATTAATTTCGAGTACTGGCAGCTGATGATGGGGTTAACGACCGCGGAATGGTCACCCCAATTTCTATTTCATTGAGTTATTTCCGAAACAATTTATTTTACTGGACAGGAGAATTTTACTTCAACTTGTACATATAGTTATAGGTATTTAGTTTTATTAGGATTTGATTAGATATAATGTTATCAATGCCTTATCACAGGTAATTCCGCGATCGAAGTCTCAAGATATGTGTCAGATTTGTCAGAAGTAAGTTTTAGGTCAAAATATATCCGTCAAATTCGAAACAATTTTCATATGAAAAAAAAACATTCGAAAATCAAATTTCTTTTCGCTCCAAATTTCAATTTTCGAATGTGACGTCGTTTGTGGTAATTTTCCGTGTATTTACGTTGGTCCAAGTGCCATATTTGGTTCATGTTACCCAACCCGAATGCATGCATCATAATACATTACTGTGCCTTGTGTTGTAATCGCATGGCGTGTATTCCCCCATTAACCCACAACTTACACTGCACCACCATTTACGTACTGATCATTAAGAATATTTAAATTGTTTTCGTCATTTAATCATAGTTTTTATTCCTTCGTCGAAATTGTTTTATGTCGGTTCTCTGTGTCTTTTAATTGACACTTAAGGTGTTTGTATGTCTTGATCTTTTGGGAAAAATAACGAGCCTTTACGCTCATCAGAAAAAAGGGTTTTGTCAGTACTAGTATGTCTATATACAGTCCAATCCTGAAGTTGTAATGTGAAGTATGTGTCCAAAAAAGTATGCCCTTTTCCGTATTCGGTTAATTAGAAAAAGTAAGCCGAGTTTGTGTGATAAATCATTAAAAACGCTTCGGTATTCTCCCGAGTCCAAATCTGATACTTTATAACGCAAAGACCCTTATCAAATAAGAATCTCATTATCATATCCTCGTAAAAGCTAAATACTCCGAAGTACGAAATAAAATGGACGGCCATCGGTTTTTAAATAAACAAATACAGAATTAGCAGCCAAAACATGGATCCCATTACACTTCACACTGTTGTAAACACAATTAAAATTACAAAAGAGCGTTATAGTACATAATCAATGGGTTTCGTAACTGACGCGACGGTTTCCGGCGCCCAAATCTTTGTTTAAAACCTCATTCAGAATAAGTGCCGGGTAAGTGGCACTGGCACTTATAAAAACTATTTTTAAACCGACCATTTCGAGTGCTACTCTTAAACGCCAGTAGCCACCAAGTTTCGGTTCGAGAACAGATTACGATTTTGCGAAAACTACTTTTTCAACTCGACTTTTAGGAAGTCAAGATGGTAATTTAAATAAAGAGAGTATTTATGAAACTTCAAAAGAATATGTTTGCTAAAAGTAGGTTGAACGAGTTTTTTTGCGCGTATCCGCAAAAAAATATACTGACACACATTTGGTGTATTCTTAAGTCTACAACTCTGTTGTATTTCATAACAAATTACTTCTAGGTACATGTTCGTTTGAGCGGAATAAACAGAATTGTTTGAAATGTCGCAATAGTAATAAAGCCGTCACGGAACTTGTAAGCTGGTATGTTCTCATATAATTCGTTGCGGTCGTCACAGGGGGAAAGGTTACTATGCTGGTTGTAACTCAAACCACATCAGCGACAGCAATTAGTCAATGGGAACTCCTTAGACTTTTTGTCGGGGCAAAAAGTGGAGTCAACGTCGACGCAGTATGTGACCATAATATGTAATATGTAATAGTTGTGTCTAGCTGTATTCTTATTTCTATTGACTTCGAATTCAATAGTTTAACTTCATTCAAGAGATTGAAAGAGAAACTGTTGATAGCTAGTTCCAAGTTCGTATTGTGTTATTTTGAAAATGAAATTCGCAGTGTAAAGTCTTGAAACAGTTATAGCTTCATCACGCGAGATAGCAACACAACTGCTTCGAATCAAGAATAGATCTAGTATTCTACGATATTTTTCTGTACACGAAGGTTTCTAAATTTCGAAACCATCAACCGTATCTAAAATCATTTTCAACGCGTTGTTTTTTACCAATAGCCAATATAAAAGTGTCTTGTGCAATGGTGTTGTTGTTTTCATTACTAGTGCACGGTTTATTTCACGCACGAGTGGCTTCTGGTCGTTGTAAAGTATATCTACGCTATGATGGCAATCGGATGGTTGACAGTGATAGGTGGAAATGTGACTTGCACCATTTACATGGAGTAGACTACCTGTACTGGTGAAAGGGTTTTTACTCGTACTAAGTGTATTTATCGTTTTTAAAGGAAAGACAAAGTTATTACCTCGTTAGACCACCGTCTTTCAAATTCGGAATCTATAATTATTATTTTAGCTTCAATGAAGTAGTAAATGAAATAGCTAATCATTTTCACTTGTAAATTCATTAAATAAACAAGTATAAAATACAACAAAATAATGTATTCATATTTATTTACGGCTGTTATATCTGTGCTATGAAGCGAATAAAGATTCGAGCGATAGAAACAACGAGGGACTGCCGCAAGGCACACGAGTATTTAGCATTGACTTATTGAAATATTGAACATTAATATTCAAAATGCTGTTCCAAAGGCAATTTCTAATTGCTTTGAAAATTAGCAAAAGTGGATTAAATTAATGGCCTCGCCTACAGCGGTACACACGGTGTTTTTACCTTTGAAATATTTTTAAATTGCTTCTGTATTGTCCCTAGGCGTCTGTACAATTATATAGTAGCGATTTCAAAAGTGAAAGTATTTTAATCTCCGTGGGTACGGTAAGAGTTTACCATTAGAAATAATCTGAAAAAAAAAATGTGGAGACAAGTTTTCTCCTATGGAGCAGTTCCAATTTTAAATCATCATTTGGCTAGCTATTGAATTTTAAAATCCCTAGACAATCATCCTCTTCTTTAGCATAAAGAGTAAACCTTGATACCAATGGCTGCATAAGAGCTTAGAATCCAAACCAATGAAGCAATTCGGTGAATGTGAAATAAACTTGAATAATTCAGCTAGAGTAAGACAAATTGAACTAAGAACACTGCGTGGGCGCATGATGCAATCGTACAAATTTTATCTGTTCCACGCTTTAATAATGATAAATGCATCAAAGTTTATGTAATGGTAGGTAATGCTAATGATCATGGTGCATTTCGTATAAATGTAATGAGGCAGAGATAAATTAAAGCTGCATTTGTTTTAGACGCAACCTGAATAAGTGATTTGTAATGGTTTTTATGGTTCCGAATCATCACTATCGTCTTCATATTTCTTTTATACCTCTTCTTTGCCTTGATTGAAGTTGATACTTAGTCTCAGATCTAGCTGTATTTCATAAACCCCTATTCAATTTACACAAATCCAACGATCATCATTTATCTTGCCTCCTCTTTCACTTCAATTACAAACTTCTTTTGAAATGAAAAAGAGACAGCAACATCGTTAAGAATTCATTAATGAGTCTAATTGACATCACTTCATTCAGCTTGATTGCCTCGTTGAGTCTTAATTGGTATCAAGGCTACAATGTATCTATCATTTACTTACATAATCATCAGACTCACTTCAATGAAGATATCAACATACTCTTAGATTGCACTCAGACTTGCAAGGCTTAGAAAATATCTTTTGTTAATATTATTTCTGCAAATCATGTCCTGTCAATTATTTGTACCACTCAAGTTTACCGTTTTATGCAAATTAACAAAAATTTCTACAACTTTACCTCAATAATTTACCAAAAACTTATAATTGAAAGCATAACATTTCAAAACTTAAAATTCAATTGGCGCTTTCTCAAAACATTTGACAGCTCTTGAATAAGGATCGAGTTGACGTCGAGTGTCCTAACAAGCAGGAAACGCTACCTAATTCGATAATTGTTCGAATTCCGTCTCACTAATCGGATAGTTTCCGAGGACAGTAGTGGACGCCAGTAGGCAGGCTAGTGCAATTGTTGGTAATTACGTGTCGGTCATTAGCCACTTGAATTGGCGGTCGAGTCCCGCTGGCTCCCTGTGTGTTTATCACTTGAGACACTCAACTCGACGTATGTTTACAGTTCTAAGCGAGACTAAACAAGTATTTAAATGTTTGCATTCTTGTATAACGAATGCGATTTATTTAACGTCTTTACCTAAATAAGTGATCATTCAAGGCTAAACCAACGCTTCTTTTGGCAAAGACTTGCCTGTTCATTCTGTATCTAAAATGAAAAAGTTTAACAATAACAAAAAGTTTGATACTAGAAGACAAATAAAACAGCGTGGCAGTTTTCCGTAATATGAAAAACAGAAAAATAAAATCGACAAATTATGACCCGTTAGAAATGTATTAAGTTAGTAAAAAACTTTTTCCATGAAAATTAGGCCTGTCAAAGGTTCCAGTGTAGAAATGTTTCGTGATGGTATCAATAGATTCGAGTTCACCGCGGCGTCGGGGATGGTAAACAAATTTTATGGGCATGTTGCTCACAAGGTGCACTAGTCACGGCATTCTTGTTCAACTGCTGCCTTACACGCACTTAACACCATGTGACCTATCGCAGTTCTCCCTCTGTAAAATGAAACATTTTATTCAACGGAATACGAAATACAAGAAACAGTATAACAAGAATGATCTGAATGCTATCTTATAACAAGCTATATTTACACAGAAACGTGTTAATTTTATTACCACAATAAAAATAAACTTTAAACATACGCTTATAATGAAGTTCTCAATTAATTTACACCTAGCATATCTTGTGACACTACATGTGAATCATTATCATAGTCGTGATGTGCCGCTTACATGTTGTTTGTGTGACTGACAACTCACCGCCGCTTGTTCAAACGTGTGCTACACCAGGGTTTACTTCACCGAGACCATCGTCATCTGTGTGAAAAACCGTCGTGCAAACCAGGATACACTTGTAAACTCCATTTTCAATTTGAGCGTTTCTTCGTCAGGTCACTAATTGGACATCGGTTCAAAATGACGATTGACAGAGCTGGCCGACCGCCAGCCCCCAGGCGAGCCTCTTCGACGTACAGAAGCTACGATGAATTAGGCGTAATAGATCGCGCGAAACCTCTTAAGTACAGACATGGAGGTATTGAAGACCTCACCGGAATAGAACAAATAAGAACCTTTCGAACCTACGACCCACAAGACATGGATGATATAACTGTTATTAGTTCGGAAGAAGTCCCGAAGCCAAAAAAGAAAATAGCTGAGGGTCTAGCTAACGGGTTTAGGAGAACATTTTCTGTGAGAAGCCGTAGAGAAGAACCAGAAGGCATACCGTTAGATACATTCAATGTGACTTGTGAGGAGAACTTTGCGACTGTTAGAGGAGCGCCTTTCGGAAGGCGCCGATCTTTGTCGAGGGATAGAGGTTCCTCGCTATTAGGCAGAAGTTCTTCAGAGGGCGATGTGAGGATGGTCCCACCCCGAGCCCCACCGGCTGCGCCCGCCCCACGTCTCCACCGCTGTCTTCGAGCTCTTGGCGGCAGCTGGAAGAATCTTTTACTATGTGAGTCTCCGAGATATGTGGTTTAACTGCTTTCTTTATTAATTCTGGATATACTGGCACTGGACAGACTTGCGCGAGTATTAACCGCTAAGCAACTCGGATTGTTGTAATTAACATCATATATTAACTCTGTCTAAAAACGTAACCAATGCGTAAACATAACTCTTAACCTTTACAAATCCGGTTTCTTCTCTCATTATTCTGTTATTTAAATGGTAGTTAACCGTTTACTGCTCTCGCCTTGTCCGGGTTAATTATTGGTGTGACGGGAACAAATTACCACTAGGAGCTTAGTTAGTTTGAACCTGTGATTAACCGCGTAGCTTAACCGAATTAAACGCTTTCTTTTATGTAAATGAACTGATTGTTTGTACTACCAAGTAGGGTGGTAATTAATTTCGGATTAGACAGTGTGGCAGTGCGGCTGTGTTTTATTAGAAAATGATAGCGCTTAATTAAGTTTGACATAATAGCCGAATGATATCGATGGTTCATTAAAGTTTATTGTGATTTATCGCCCTATGGCGCCTGCCTTGACTAATTGACCATAAAATTTACTATAAAAAGAACAAATTAGACGATCAATTTTGTTTGTCGTAAACAAATCGTTGTTGCCTAGTACTTTGTGAAGCCTAATTCTAGACACAAAACAGCGAGTGCCCCGGCTTATTCGTTCGCATAATCGTTATCGCGGGTCTGCGATATTCCTGGACGTAACTTCCTATAGCCTTGACACTTAGCGTGCTCTCTACAATGTTTACTTAACTTTATCGCGAACATTTAACTGACAACGTGTTTCTTATAATGTTACACTACACGTAGGTGGCAAACGTTTGTTAAGATTTAATTTAATTAAAAATGTACAAGCCTTGACTTTAATGTTTATACAAACATCTGTAGTACCAATATCCTGGCCACATTTTGTAATAAAATTGAGGTTTACGCCTCTGTCGTCGCCTACATGATCGTGTAGGAAGCGTATATCACACACTAAATTGTGTTTTAATACTTTTGAATGGTAAATTATTGTTTCATAAGCCCATATGGCTATGTAAATGGTCATTTTATTTCTATTTTGACATTTTGTGGCTACCTTTTGACTGTTTGATATAAATTTCAGCCTATAAGGAATTAAAGGTGCGTAAGTAAAATATTTGTGTCATGCTAATATTAAGAAAATCGAATATTTATTATAAATGTGGCATGTGTAGAAACATTTATTTGGGTGTCTGTTCCCTTGTATCGTTGCCTCGAAACGAGAGCTTTCGGTGAAAACATGCTGACATAAGCTCCACATAAATAATGAACACATACCCTTTGTATGTGAGCGGCTGTTATCTCGTGTAGTGCCGTGTAAGCCGTGCTAGCTAACCCCCGCGCTGCGAGTAGGCTCATTAAGAAAATTGCCTTTTTAATTTTCCGTTACACTGGCCTTGCAGGCCCTTGTCGAACAATGCACGGTTAAGTGGAAAATGCTCTAGTTTTGTTACGATAATATGTGTTAATATTTTCATGCATGCCTCTGTGAGTACTTGGTATAATAAGAGTACTTTCATATTTCTGCTTTAATTATGATTTTATTATAATAAAAAAGACTACTTAATGCTCAAACCTTCTCCTTGCGAGAAGAGGCCTTTGCTCAGCAGTGGGCACATACGGGCTGATGATGTGATGTATTGTGTGATGTGAAATTAAACTTATTTAAATTGAATATGAAAACTGATATCTAAATTTTACCGTTTTTGCAAATCCTAGTTCAAATTTATTACCCACAATCATAGTTAGTTTCTCGTAGACAGATTAACGTGAAAACCAATTTCTTAATAATAATAGTTATTAGTGTCACTTTTATTGCGGCTTTGGAACTCCTTATTCGAGTTATAGGTAAAGGTTCGGGTAGAGAGAGAGAAATGTTTGGTGTTAAATATGATCAACGTCGATATTTATATGTTTTCGTATGTAGCAAAGGGCCGGATCCTAAAAATTACCTCGTTCCAGGGACATTTGGCACCAGAAAACACTATCAGTGTGTCAACCCTATACCAATAAAAAATATTAATGTCGTCTACATAATCTGGCAGAGTTACAAATGCGCGAAACACCATGTTTACGGATATTCCACAATGTCTTATGTAACATTTATTTTTTCTGTTTGAAATGGATTGAAATATAAGGCTGACTTAAATGAAACCATTTCAACAACAAAATAATTAATCTTCCGCATACATTTGGCAACAATACGATTAGCGGTCGGAATATCCCCTTTCCGTAATATCATTCTAAATATCCCTGTCCGCAATATCACGGGCAGTGTTCGAGGGTTGTCCTGTCGCCGACTATCCCCGGATGGACACTGACAGAAGCTTGTAAGGCATTTTAGCGAAATTGCTTTTGTTCGTACATCTGTCGTTGTTTCTACCTTGTTAATTAATTATTTAGGGCATATTACGGATAAAAGGGGATTCGTGAGCCGTGCGGAGATTCCCATAAATATTTCTGTTCTCCATAATGAATTTGTTAGAAATTCTCCTTATCGTTGGTTTTATACACGTATAGCTAATTTTGAATGCCTTGTAGTCTCACTCATTTTAATATTCTATGGAATATTGTTGATTCACGCACGATAAAAACGAACACGTTACGCATAATTGTGAACGTAACGATTGTAAACGTGAGTTAATGCATTTTATGTTAACAACTTTTCTCATCAGAAACCAAGAAAAGCTGATAGGGGAACTAAATGAAAATAAATGTATTAATTAACTGTGAATTGGCAGTCATAACAGTGCTAATCTATTTTTATCTACTGCGGGTCTTTCGAGCCACCTCACGTAGGCGCAGGGTCATCGCAGTCACGTCAATAATATGTGTTGAGCATGATATCTGCACATTCCGCACGCGGAGCCCGTTGGCGCATTCGAATTATGAATTCCATTTTTTTATTTATTATTTTGTCGTTGGTATTTTCTATGAAATATTTTTTATATGTACTTATTTTTTTATACTTATTAATATTTATTCTTTTTTTTTCTTTACGGCAATAAAAATCAGTTTCGTCCTCAAAATGAAATAAATTCCGAAAAAAATAAATTGTGTATTGAAATCCTTATCTGGATTTACACAAATTACGCAACTAAATGCTATTCGCTGACACGTATAACTTGTACCAGGACATAACTGGAGTATAAAGATTACCCTCAGATTATTAGGTCAGAGCAAACGACACTGAGATTACACCACGACTCGCATGGCCGGTAATAAGGCCATAAGCGGTGCCAATAACCGTCCACCGGCCGCCGAGGTACGTGTTTCAATGATCTCAGACAACATGTTTTGATGAATTTTATTAAGTCGTTAGACGCAAGGACAGTTAGGTAACTTTCAGAGAATTTTAAACTAGATCATGTACAGCTAATCGTTTTAAATATGCTCCATTTTATTTTAAAACTCGTAAACATGACCTGTCATGAAAAATGGTTTAGAAAAACATTTTTTTTAATCTGCCACTACATACTTTTTTGTTAAATTGTTACGATATTAATCAAGACAGCATTAATTTACTATAACAATTTCTGTTATAATGGAAACTATTGTTCCCATTTCCCAACTGTGGTGTAGAAGGTCTAAATTCATTACGATACCAATATACCTAGTTGGTCCCAACCTTAGTAATTAATAATAATAACGCGGTCAGGTTCGTTACTAATTTCCCGTCTTATGAATTTAATCCTTCTTGGTTGCTTACAATTCATCAATTCGGAAAAGGCTGAATGCTTTGATACCTTTGCTCATTTTTAAAATAAGTAATGGTGACATTCAATTTATTTTTAATTTGAATTTGAATATCGAACTCCGATTATAGTAAATTGTATTTTTTTTGTGAAGCGAAGAATAAGGTTCTATTATTTCGGAATGTTTTTGATAGGTACCTACTTAAATACTATTTGAAATTACTAATTAGGCGTTAGTCTTAAGTGCTTAGTTAGAAGTTCTAAAACTTAATTATAAGCTTTCGTATGGATTCCCTTAATCATAGTTTAACCTCTTGCGAGTATGATAGTTAACCTTGTATAATAACAGGTTATTACAAGTTTCCCATACAATTACTTAAATGGTTTATTGTTAAAGTTACAAATTAAGCGGACTTAAATATTGGGTCACTGACAGACCTTGTCAAAGTCAAGGGCTGTCATAATATACAAAGCTATAACAAAGCTTTCGTAATAGAACATCTTGACTGTTAATCCCTGAAGATAGGCAGACAGAATTATCGAGTTCCATCTGAAAAGGCCTATTTCTCTCCATCGGCCACTTCAGACTATATGTGATAGGAACTTTCAGTTTTCTAAATACTGCGACCCCGAAAGGGCCCCGAAATACGCGCTAGTTACTCCTCTGGTGTTGCGGGTTGCCATGGTGAAACCCTACGTTTACTTATTACCAAAACTTACTAAAATATTCTACTCCTATTCTGATAATATTTAAAAGTGTTCTATTGACCGGTTCATTGCTTATAGAACAGCCGTTTAGTAGAACACCGCCCACATACTCGATCACAGTTGCCTACGATACAAATGATACTGTTACTGGCACAACTACTGCTTTGATCTCTCAAATAATATTGTCAGTGAAAGTTTGTATGTTTAGGCTGTTAGAAAATTAGAAAATGCTGTAGTATCATAAAAAATATGTATCATATATAGTAAATATTCAAGTGTATATTCTAGATTAATGAATACAACCGTTTCCACGCTTTTGTTCATCATCATCAGCCTATAAATGTTATCTGCTGACTAAAGGCTTCTTCTCACACGGAGAAGGTTTGAGCACATTTGAAAAACTCATTGTCAAATAGTTACTATTGTGATATAATATATTAAATTTATTGAAAAAAGAAAGTCACTCAAGTCGCGATGCCGCCGCGACGCGCATACTGCTCACGAATAAGAGTCCCGTTGCAACTTGAAACTAGTCGAGCTACTCAGTTATGTCAACAAAAAAAAACTAATTTTTAGTTTTTACATGA